CAAGACCTGGGCCCCTGAAGCTTTTCCCAAGTCTGCCCACAGGACGCATCCTAAGTCTGCCAGCTGGGCCCACCCCTATTTGCTTATAATCTCATATACACTAAGTAACAATGTAACTGGAAAAGTGTTAAAAGCGAAAATATAATAAAAACAGTCAAATTACAAAATGTAAATTTTTCCATGCAACATAACTATTACAATGGACTGTAGTAGTTATGGTGCTTGGAGTGTTTCTTTTACAATGAGTAGCTTTAGTAGGTTGTGGTGGAAACTTTATAGTTTAGCTGTATTTAACTAACATGTAAAATAACAATGATTCAATTGAAATACTGATGGGGTAATTTAAAGTGCCAGTTTGCATTGAACTTGTAATGATTTTTAACATTATGGTGACCTTTCCACCTTAGCAAGTTAGCACCCAAAATACCGGATTTAGCAATTCAGTTCCACTCATTGAGGACAGAATCCTCGATAAATGGCCTTGAAAATTTTGACTCTAAAAATGTTGATACGTTTTTCTTTTATCTGACTATTTTATTGATTCCACTAGCAGTCAGAGGGAGGCAAAATGATCCCCTGTTAGTACTATGGAGGTTTTTTACCTCCACCATGCCCATACTTCCCATGCAGTGATTGGGGGCAGTGGCTGCTCATTGTCATAACATACTAGCAACTGGGCAGCTAGATATAGGTATTGGGTGGGGGCATTGGATTGAAAAACTGACCAACCACGATGTCCCCAACGATTGCCACATTGTGCGGGCTATTATGTGTTTACCCTCTCCTTCCCCACATGTGGAAGCAATTAATTAAATATGTGGTCTTAGTGTCCCCCGGTGGTCAGTTCTTGGTTAGTGGGTGGGAGCTCTAAAAATAAATGGGGGTCCTAATGCCAACTCCTTGTATATAATTAAATATACAAGGGGTGGACATGCAATTTTCCAACTCCCCAAATTTTTTATCAATGTTTCACTGTGGGCCGAGTCCCGAGCCACCCCAGCCTAATAAAAATAAAAAAAAACAAAAAAAAAAAAACAATTTCCACTTTCCTGTAATAGCGCTATGAGTAAGATTGCATAGCCCTTATTACTGCATTTCTTGCCATGCAAGCTCAATCTGCACTGAGCCCTTGATTGGTGATCTTGGGTTATTTTTTTATGGCATCACATTATTTTGTTTTTATAATTTTTTTTCTTAAATTTGCAATCTGGTCCATTTTAAGAATTGCAGCAGAACTTAATGGATTTTGGGGGGCCTTTTTATGGGCGGCACAAAAGAAGATTTAAGAAGAAAGAAGACATTTTATGGTAAGTAAAAGGTTTTTTACAATTATTAGATTAATTGGGCCCGCTCTCACTATCATTAGGGGCAGGGATTTTTTTTATTGACTGATGGCTAGGGGCATGAGGAACCACAGCCTTCCACTGAATGGACATTGATGACAATGGCATGTCCACTCCACCTTAAATTTTAGCCCCTACTTGCCACTCACGGGTGAGGGCCTGTGGGGGCAATTGGTCCCTCCATTTATTATTAATTGAATAACCCCTATCTGCTGCCAGTGGGTGGGAGCTTGGGTGGACAGTGGGTCCGCTGCAGGTATATTAAAATTAGACCTCTAACCCACCATCTACAGGTTGGGACTGGGGGGCGAACATGGTCTGTCCCCACCCCTTTTTATTATTTAGTTGATCCCAGAACACTATCCACCCCCTGTTCTTTATTCAGAATCCCCCATCTGATGCTCACTGGGGGATGGGAGGGGGAGGGGTCTTGTAAAATGTTAATAGCGACTGGGCAGCAATAGCTAGTCACTGTTTAGTGAATGTGCCCCTACTTGCTGCATGGCAAGGGGGAATGGAGGAGGTTTAAAATCTTGCCCTTATGTGAGGGTCATATTTACTTTCATATATATCGGAGGATTTTTCTCAAGCATCCGACCTGTTTTATCGGGTTAGGCTTTTAGAATTTCAGCTGCCATTAAAGGAGCACTTTTGGGTCAGGAACAAAAACGTATTCCTGACCATATAGTGTTAAAACCACAATCTAGCCCCCCCATTTCCCCCTCTTGCCTCCCTAAAAATGTTACAATCTTACTTTTATTCAAGTCTGCAGCTCCTGGCCCTGCCCCTTTCTGCCTCAGACCTGCTCCTGCCTGCTGACATCATCAGAAGTGGTGATAAACATAGAAACATAGAATGTGACGGCAGATAAGAACCATTCGGCCCATCTAGTCTGCCCAATTTTCTAAATACTTTCATTAGTCCCTAGCCTTATCTTATAGTTAGGATAGCCTTATGCCTATCCCACGCATGCTTAAACTCCTTTACTGTGTTAACCTCTACCACTTCAGCTGGAAGGCTATTCCATGCATCCACTACCCTCTCAGTAAAGTAATACTTCCTGATATTATTTTTAAACCTTTGTCCCTCTAATTTAAGACTATGTCCTCTTGATCCAATAAGACTATGTCCTCTTGATCCAATTCAACGCTTGAACCAATCACAACGCTTTCACATAGGATTGGCTGAGACTGTCAAGTCAGATCAGGGGCAGAGCCAGCAAAATTCAAACACAGCCCTGGCCAATCAGTATCTCTTTATAGAGATGTATTGAATCAATGCAGCTCTATGAGGAAAGTTCAGTGTCTCCATGCAGAGGGTGGAGACATTGAATGGCAGTGCTGCAGTACTGCCCCAGGTAGCACCTCTAGTAGCTATCTGAGGAGTGGCTAGTGGAGTGATCACTAGACTGTAATGTAAACACTGCATATTCTCTGAAAAAACAGCGTTTACTGCAAAAAGCCTGAAGGGAATGATTCTACAATAAACTGTAGTTGTTCTGGTGACTACAGTGTCCCTTTAAATCCAGTGGAAAGTCGATAAAAACAATCAGCTGACACCAGTTAATAATTTTTGACTGAGCAAATGTTAGGGACACTTCCCAAAGCAGAGCAATCGTCAGCTATAACACTGACATATTGGTTTTATTGTTGATGGTATATGCTGACAATTGATTCACAGGTGAGGGGGACAGGCAGATTTCGCTAGCACGTTGTGTAGATGCTTTTTAGTGTACTGTGGTTGTGGTTAATGCGTGTACCATGACAAGTATTGGTTATTTCTTGTTAAGTCAGATTGTGTAATGACATGTAAGCCTTGCAATCACCTGCTAATCTTTGTGTCTTTTGAGTGAAATCCAGAGAATTAAAGTCATGTGCCTCATTATGAGTTCATAATATCCCATAATACTTTATTAGTTACTCTGTACTACTTGAAATAAAAAAAAGGCCAAAATCAGAGCCCTGAGTCTTACTGTCAAGATTAACATTGTCAAAGCAACTGCTCAACATTTAAAGTCTAGCCAACTTTTATTGTCAGACTGCTGGTTGGGTGTATTAAATAACCTCTTCAGAGTGACACGCTGCAGAAGGGACTTGTTCATAATTCCGCAATAGTTGATTGTTAATTAGGTTTTCTGTTTTGGTGAAAAATAGTTATAATTTCAATACGTTTTTAGAAAAGTGTTTGGAAACATCTCCCGTGTATGTTTTTAAACTGAAGATAAATTTTAGAAAGCCTATAAATGGGATACGCTGTTGATTGCAAAAACTGAATGAAACAACACATTAAGTTAGAGAGAAAGGGTGACAGAGGGGCAGGGAAAACAAAAAAAAAAAATATGCTGAAAGGCAATCTGTGCCTGATTCCTTGTTATTGTCATGATAATTATGGGCCAGTGTCCCAATTGCCATCTGCTCCCCCTAGAGTGCAGGCTGTGGGCACACAGAGTGCGTCTGCTTTATTAGTGACAAGCCTTCCGGAACATCAGCTGCATGTTCAATGGCTAATATAATATGGGATGTTTATGTGTGGATAATTGTCACGTCTAATGAAGGAAGAACATGCAATGTATACAGACAGACCTTAACCCTTTCTCCAAACCCTTAAGCAATGCACTCAAGCCATTTCTCTGTTAATGTTGCCCTACTCTGATCTTTATTTAAAATAAATCCAAAAACTTGTTGCCTTTAGCTTTTGCAAAAGGCAATGTTTTTCACAGAAGATTAGCCTGACTTGTGGGAATTTCTGTTTGGTATGTCAAACGTGCTAAAACCGGTTATTTCATGGGAATAGCCTATAGCCAATTGATTTATTTGTTGACTTGAATTGTATTAATTTTTTCAATTCTTTATTTTTGTTGTGCAAATTATTACAAACCAGCTCGTGTTGCCACAACAGCATTCACAAGCTTTATACCATCATACATTTCAAAACAGTAGCATGGCAAGTGCAGGAACTCACATTTTTTCTAAAATATGATATGGGAAAACAGTAAAGCATAAACACGTGTGGTACAGTTGTTCAACAGAGGTTGCGTAGCACATCCCTAGTACCTCTGCTTTTGTGAAATTTGAGTTAAAACATTGTGAGCATAATGCTGTGGGGGTGGACAAAGATAGAATTGGGTAAGCTATGTCTATTATTAAGCATAAAATTCCACTGGACAGGCAGAGTTATTTATAACTGCGTGTGCAAGTAAAAGGCAAGTGAATAAAAGGCCTATTTAAGTATAGTCTAGTGCAGCATTAACTGAAAACACGAAAATAAACTGAAAGCATACACATGGTTCTGAAAGATCTGCCTTGTAATTCTAAGACCCCTCAGCCAATGCCTGTGATCAGAAAGTCTGTACCCCATAAGAGCAGGAGTTCATCGAAGCACAAAGGGGCACCCCCTGTGCTTCTTGGGCCGCGGATCTCCCGTCCTGCGCCTCCGTGAGTCAGGCAGCATCCATATGTTTAGTTGCCTCAATGCCAGCCCCAGGCCTTGCTGAGCGGGAATTCCTTGATAGCGCTGGTCGCACTTGGTGATTTGGCCCCCTCCCGTGTGCTGAGCAGGTGTACATCGTCTGGGCATAAGGGTAGGTTGTCTGCGAGGTCTTGTCCACTGCATGTCCCGTCTTATGCTCCTCGTCACCCTTGAAGTGCTCAGGGGTTGCTACGGAAGCCGCGCAGGAGTCTGACCCCTCAGGGAAGCACTAGAGGTCCGTGAGCCGGACATACCCCCAGGGATCTCCCCCAGTCTTCGTGCGTCGTCATGCCATTGAAGCTTGGAGAACAAGATGGGCTGGTGCATGTGAGTTGCTGGGGTTGGTGCATTCAAGGTATCTGAGTGGGTCAGCAGAACCCGCTGTTGCCTAGCTTCAATTTTCTGCCAGAATGCAGTAAAGATGCAATCCAGCTTGCTCAGAGTCATTGTAAGGTAGGCCTTGGTTGAGCCTCCAGCTGTGAGCAGCGCCATCTTAGGAGCCACGAGGCGTCTCCCCATACAGCAGCCCTCAGAGCTGAGGAGAAGGGGTGGGTGACATCCTGGGACCGGGATGACCCTCACCTGTCCAAAGGGGGGCGGGGAGGAGTGCAGGCCACTGTGAGTAACAAGATGTGGCTTCTGAAGAGTGGCCGTTCCTCCGATGCCAGTCAGGCTTGCAGGCAGCAAGAAGTTGACAGCCGGTGTTCTGGATCAGGACACTGCCAAGTCTGGAACCATATGAGTCCCCAGGGTCCCCAATGTGCGTTTAATCTCGTTTTGCTGTGATATTTGCAAGATTGCATGTAAAAAGAAGCTAAATTAGCAGGCTTTGGTCAGGAGCTCGCCTTGCATGCGTCCGCTCTGCCTGCCAGTCAAGCCCCACCCCATACACAACGTGATTTAATTCCTAAATGACAGCAAATCGAGCAGTGAGATGCAGGCCATGCTCTATACACTAACACCACTTAGTTAAGCTAAAGTCAAACAGAATGGCTCAGCCCACAAGTATAAAGCTCATGTATCTAATAAACAGATGATTTTACCTTGTACATCAGACCAAAGTGGGCACCTGCCTCAGATCCCTCACAATCATATGCCTTGTTGTAAACATTTGTGTATTTTTATTTATTTATTCTCTTAATTAGCTGTGCTCCCTGCAGTGCTGTGGTCATAAGCGCTTTGTAGAGATTCACAGGTGATCCAGCATCAGCGGTAGGTGCTCTATGTACGTACAGGGTGCACATGCCTCTCTGCCACTTCTCCCATGTAACTGAAATGCCTCTGAATGATACAAGTTAGACAATTTCTTCCTTGTCTATTTCCCAAAAAATAAATAAATTGTAAGTGGTATAGAAGACAAAATCTAGTGATTTTCTCCAAAGAGATGCACGTTAGTTAAATATGTACCATAAATAGTTGCTTTTTTGATTACAGAGGGTAGGCACCTAAAACCAAATCATAGCCATTTCTCCTGGTGTGATCTCAAAACTCCAGGTCTGACATTTTACTTTCTTTTGGCTGACCATCGATTTGGTGGTGGAAAGAGATTGTATCCACTGTAGCTCTACCCACTATACCAGGGCTAGGTAACCTTTGACACTTCAGCTGTTGTGGCCTGCATCTCTCCTGATGCTTTGCCAGCATTATGCCTGGAAGAGCATTTTGGGATATGTAGCCCACAACATCTGGAGTGCCAAATGTGGCCTACCCCTGCACTATACCATCAAATTGCTATTTATGTGACCAATTTTGAGGGCAGTTCTTCCCTCCATTTTTTAATCCAGCGCTAATTTCTTACATTCATAGCTTGAATTACCATATTTGTCCAAGAATTTCATTCTTTTGTCCAAGAACCACAATCTACCTGATCCGAGAGGAGGAGGACGGTGGAAATGGGAATTTAAATGTCCCCATGTATGGCTATCCATTCAGCATACCTTTGAATTGTTATTTTAAAACATTACATAGTCAGTACATTGAAGTAAAATGTGTGAACGTGACTGTTCTATCTTCTGGCAAAGTTTCCTCAAGTTGACAAGTCCATCTTAGATATGATCAATTCATAAAACGTAAAAGAGACTTATTTGATAGACATTCCTCTGTTGTTGTTACACTCTATATCGTTACACCATATTGCTACATCCTGGTTCTAGTTGTTTTGTCAGCATTAGGACATTGGATGTTGCTATTTATATCTGGGTATATACATTTTTAATCTTGTTTTTTTTGTTGTTGTGACTTTTCCATTTTTACTTCGGATTGGTTACACCCTTTATTGTTACATTCTGGTCCTAGTTGCTTTCACGGCATTAGGACCTTGGATGTTTAGATCTGTGTCTGTGGTTGAAATGTTTTTATTTATTTTGAGCAGCGGTGTTTTTAGATACTGTATTATATTACACTTTGTATCATTATACTTCAAATGTTTTACTATACCAATAAATATATTCCTGAACTATTACCTTATGGACATATTGTGTTACTAGGAGCGCTTGCACTTTATTTTTATATTTTACTCTTTGAGAGACATGTAAACTAATTAAATTGGTCTGGAAAAAAATGGCATGCACCTTTAAAGGCATGCACATATCACTACATTTTGTCTACAGGAGCTGACATTTCACACTGAGCCATACAGCCTGCCCAATTGGTTTAAACTCACTCACTGACACTGACTCTCAATGACTTTTATATGTAATCAGTAAAGGGGAGCTTACTTAGGTTCCACTACCTGGATACTGATGGTCTCTGTCCTGTGTCGATTTCATATAGAAATGAAGTTCTGTCATGGCAGTAGCCTCTTTTGTAACAGCTTCAGCTAATTGCAGACATGCAGAGTATTGTATGCTTGCCTGAGGACTGATCATCGTCTATAAAAGATTATACCCATTTTAACAATGAGCAGCCAACATTGTGTTTTTAGATGTTGCTTGCATTATTGTAGAAAAAAGTAAAAAAAAAAAAAAACTTTGTCACTGTAAATGTAAACATAATATCCCAATTGAAAAAAGCATCTGTAATCTGAACACACACTGATATTTATAGAATATTGCACTACAGTAAAGAAACATGTGTTGGAATTCATTCTAGACAGTCTGCCAATGTTTTCCATTTCACTGTTAAATTAAAATGATACAAGTTTTGCAGAGTAAACTGCAATTATGGGACAACTTTATAAAGAACAGATTCTATTGATCCTAAAAGTGCAGTTTTAAAATGCTGAGGCAATTGGTTTCCCTGGAAAGCTGTGAAAGTGGATTGAGGACATGAAACCAGTTGCTAATCAATTCCCGTTACAAACATAATGATTCTGTAATAGGATGCTTTCAAAGGAAATTTTAATGCATAATGACCTTCTATTGAATCCAGTTTGTGCTTGGTTTATTTCTTGAAATGTTTACATGTATATATTTGGTAATATATACGTAGTATATGTAGAATACATTAACATTATGCCTTGGCTCTAAAATTCCAGCAGGTAGTAGAGATTATTTTAGATATTATAATAGATTCTCTCAAGCAGTAAGCACAAGACAATCCCGATTTTGAACCCACGTTCGTCTTTTCTTGTTTTTCTCCGGAGTTACACTTCTGAGGACACCTGAAAGAGCATCATTATTCTTAAACCAATCACAACATTGTATTGCCGTACATTTTTATCAATACAAGACCATTTTCAAAGCAGACCTTGTGCTTTGTCAGGGGCCCCAAAATTTGTGGTGGCAGAAACCTGGAGTCATAAACAGTATTAAACTTTGGAGGGTCAATAAAAGGGTTTTTGTATAGGCAGTTATGAAAAATATTGATATCAGGTAGTTTGATCCGGCAGCAGAGAACAAAGAGAAGAGAAATGGGAAATCAGCAGAGGGTGCAAGGAATGGGTTGAGATGGTGGATAGAATAATAAAATATTATTATTTGGTTGATTTGAATCCTCACTCCTGCTATTCTGTATCACCACAGTCTGAATTGGATGTTATTAACGTGAGCCTGTCACGATAAGTTCACTTTAACATACATCACCACCTGATGCAGTAAATTTATCATAGTGGTAAGCGATATATTTATATGTTTGGGTAGCTATTAGTACAAAACTGCTGCCCCTTGTTCCAGCATTTCTTTTCTGTTTCTGGTATTGTTTTACTGCAGGAGCATCTATTGTCTACTGCCGCCCTTTCTCCAAAGTTACTGGCTTGCTTGATGACCACTTCACAAGCAGGACAATATATGCTGATGACACAAACATGCTGTCACTGTGTAAGTTGGAGCAGGTACACTTTAAAATATGCACCATGTATTTTCATTTGCCATGTGTCTGAGTTGGACTTGTGTAGTTGTGTAGATTTTGTCCAATTTTGGTAGTCATGTTGGAGAAGAGATATAGCACATAAAGGATATTCTTCACAGAAGATGGAAAAAGACAGTACACCCATCAGTTGACAATAAGCAGAATAGGTCCTTAATCGGATGGCTGTGTGACCTTTTATTAAAGATAATTTTTAAAGCCCTAGCCCTGACACTCAGGGAAAATGCCCAACAGCATATTTATGCAAGGCATATAGCTACCACAACCCATATTTCTGAGATCTCATCCCTGATATCACAGCACCTACAAACTATAATTAAGCCATTTGCTTGTTATAGAATTGTCAGTCAACAGAGTCTGACAAATATTTTCGGCTTCAGAAGAAACCCTTCAAAGACAGGCTGATATAGAAGGCACTTTGTGTTGGTCATTAGCAGATGACATGACCTATAATAAACCGCTTTTTACTTCTGTAACGTCCTCTGCTCACATGTACCCTGTTGAACTCTGAATGTCATTTTACACAGGCTAAGAGATTATTTTTAAATTAATAATATTTTACTTCCTTTGTTTCACTGCCAGTGCCTACTTGCTAAACTCCCTGTTTTAGAAAGGACAGTCCCAAATTTGGGACCCCTGTTACACTGCCTCAGGTTTATTCTTTTATGCCTCTTTTCTGGGGACATTAGAGAAAAGTGTAACATGAACACATTTAAACATGCTTCTACTACACTGGGCAAGAATTCCAGGATATTTCAGACCATGTGCTGGTATGTAAAGGAAATGTAAGGTTAAAGGGACACTGTAGCTTAATGGAGTGTCTTTTATGTATAGATCTTACACCTGCAGGCTCACTGCTCAATTTTTCGCCATTTGGAAGTGAAATCACTGTTTATCCAGCCCTAGCCACGCCTCCCCTGCATGTGACCTACACATTTCCTGTAAGCAGTGTAATAAAAGGAGATTAAAATAAACATTTTTCACATGTAATTCAAAAATTAAACCATTTTTCATGCAGGCGGTGCCAGTCAGAGTCAGGGTAGGTGAGGTTAGGGTTGCATAATAAGTAACAAAGGTGATCTCACTCCTAAATGGCAGAGAATTGGGCAGTGGTACTTCAGGAATATGATCTATACACTAAAAGTGCTCCATTAAGCTAAAGTTGTTTTTGTGCTTAGACTATCCCT